ACAATCAACACCCACGGAAGCAGCAGTCAAGAAATCAAATGATGTATTGCATCGGGCAAATCTGCTGCAAAAGACCTCTTTAAAGGGTTAAAAAGAAAAGATGTCACTTTAAGGACTAAGGTGCAGCCTGACCCAAGCCACGGTACTTTCAATTGCCTCATATGCATGTGAAAGCTGGATAATGAATAAGGAAGACCGAAGAGTAATTGACACCTTTGAATTATAATGTTGGTGAAGAATATTGAATACACCATGGACTGCCGGAAGAACGAACAAATCTGTCTTGGAAGAAGTACAGCCAGAATGCTCCTTAGAAGTGAAGATGATGAGATTTAGTCCCACATACTTTGGATATGTTATTAGAAGGGACTAGTCCCTGGAGAAGAACATCATGCTTAGTAAAGCAGGTCAGCAAAAGAGAGGAAGACCCTCAATGAGAAGGACTGACACAGTGGGTGCAACAATGGGTCTAGCATAGCAATGATTGTGAGGATGGCACAGGACCGGGCAGTATTTCATTCTGTTGTACACAGGTTTGCTATGAGTTGGAACTGACTCAACAGCACCAACAACAATAACTAAACAAATGGAAAGACATCTCCGTGTTCATGGACTGGAAGACAAAATTAAAGTATTAAGATGACAATACCCGAAGTGATATACAGATTCAATGCAATCGCTATGAAAATCTCAACATTTTTTGCAGTAATGGAAAAACCCATCCTGAAATTTAAAGGGACCCAGAATAGTCAAAAGAATTTTGAAAAAGAAGAATAAAGTGGGAGGACTCAAACTTTCTGATTTCAAAATGTACCACAAAGCTACAGTTATCAAAACAGTGTGGGACTGGCATAAGAACAGACATATAGACCAATGGAAGATAAGAGCCCAGAAATAAACTTTTAAATCTATGCTCAGTTGATTCCTGATAAGGGTACCAAGACCATTCAATAGGGAAAGAACAGTCTTTTTAACAAATATTGCTGTGAAAACTAAATATCCACATGCAACAGAATGAAGCTGGACCCTTATCTTACACCTTATGCAAAAATTAACTCAAACTGGATCAAAGATCTAAATTTAAGAGCTAAAACAATATCATCTCTTAAAAGAAAACACAGGGCCAAGTCTTCATGATCTTAAATTTGGCAATGGTCTCTTATATACGACACCAAAAGCACAGGGAGAAAACAAAAAACAGATAAACTGACCTTTATTAAAATGAAAAACTTTTGTGCCTCTAAAGACCTTATCAAGAGAGTGAAAAGACAACCTACAGAATGGGAGAAAATATCTGGAAACGATACATCTGGTAACAGTTCAATACTCAGAAAAGACGCTCAATATCATTAATCATGAGGGAAATGCAAATCAAAACCACATCACACCCATTAGCATGGCTTAAAAAAAACAAAAAAGAAAAGAAGTGTTGGCGAGGATATGCAGGAACTGAAACCTTTGTCCACTGCTGGTGGGAATGCAAAATGATGCATCCACTGTGGAAAACAGTTCGGTGGTTCCTCAAAAAGTTAAACATAGGCTATGACATACCCGACAAGGGTCTAATCTCTAAAATCTGTAAGATACTGCAACACCTCACCAATTAAATGGGCAAAGGATATGAACAGACACTTCACCAAAGAAGACATTCAGCCAGCTAACAGACACATGAGGAAGTGTTGGCAGTCACTAGCCATTAGGGAAATGCAAATCAAAACTACAATGAGATACCATCTCACCCTGACATTACTGGCACTAATAAAAAAAAAAGATACAGTAACAAGTGTTGAAGAAGTTGCGGGGAGATTGAAATTCTAATGCACTGCTGGTGGGAATGCAAAATGGTACAACCACTATGGAAAACAATATGGCACTTCCTTAAAAAGCTGGAAATAGAAATACCATATGATTCACCAATCCTACTCCTAGGAATATATCCCACAGAAATAAGAGCCATCACACAAATACACACATGCACACCCATGTTCATTGCAGCATTATTCACGATAGCAAAAAGATAGAAACAACCTAAGTGTCCATCAACAGATGAATGGATAAACAAATTATGGTACATACACAAATGGAATATTATGCAACGATAAAGAACAATGATGAATCCTTGAAACATCTCACAACATGGATGAATCTGGAGGGCATTACACTGAGTGAAATAAGTCAATCACAAAAGGACAAATACTGTATGAGAAGACTATTATAAAAACTCAAGAAAAGGTTTACACACAGAAAGAAACAATCTTTGATGGTTATGAGGGAGGGCAGGGTTGGGGAAGGGAAATCATTAACTAGATAGTAGACAAGTATTAACCTTGGTGAAGGGAAAGACAGTGCACAATATAGGAGAAGTCAGTATGTACAACTTGACTAAGACAAAGTCATAGAAGCTTCATAGACATATCCAAACATCCTGAGGTACTGAGTTACGGGGGCTGAGGGCTGGGGACTATAGGGGGTCATCTAGGTCAATTGGCAAAACGAAGTTCATAAAGAAAATGTTCTACATCCAACTTTGGTGAGTAGCATTTGAGGTCTTAAAAGCTTGCAAGCGGCCATCTAAGATACATCTATTGGTCCCATCCTGTCCAGAGCAAAGGAGAACAAAGAAAACCAAACACACAGAAAAATATTAGTCCAAAGGACTAATGGACCACAAGTACCAAGGCCTCCACCAGCCTGAGCCCAGAAGAACTAGCTGGGGCCCAGCTACCACCACTGACTGCTCTGACAGGGATCACAATAAAGGGTCCTGGACAGAGCAGTAGAAATATGTAAAACAAAATTCAAATTCACACACACACACAAAAAAAGACCAGACTACTGGTCTGACAGAGACTGGAAGAACCCCAGAGACTGTGGCCCCCAGGCACCCTTTTAAATCAGAACTGAAGCCACCCTCAAAGTTCACCCATCAGCCAAAGGTTAGACAGTCTACAAAACACACAATAACACACGTAAGGGACGTGTTTCTTAGTTCAATCATGTATATGAGATGAAAAGAGCAACACCTACTCAAAAGCAATGACGAGAAGGCAGGAAAGGACGGGAAAAATGGATGGATGGAAACAGGGAATTGGGGTGTGGAAGGGGAAAGTGTTGACACATTGCAAGGACTGCAACCAATGTCACAAAACAATTTGTGTATAAGTTGTTGAGTGAGAAACTAATTTGCTCTGTAAAGTTTCACCTAAAGCACAATTTTAAAAAAAAAGTTAAACACAGAATTACCATATGACCAGCAATTCCACTCCTAGTGATATACCCGAAAGATTTGAAAGCAGAAACTTAGATACTTGTATACCAACGTTCATTGCAGCATTATTCACAAT